TCATTTTCATTTTTAATAGACGTCTACAACTTGATTTTTTGAGACGAGGTCTTTCTAGGTTGTCCCAGGGGGCCTTGAACTCAAGGGCTCAAGCGATCCTCCCATCTGACTCCTAATTAGCTGGGACAACAGGTGTAATCCACCATGCCAGGTCAAACAACTTGAAGTCCCCCTTCTGTCTCTCTTAGACAGAAGCTTTCTTTCCCTCAAATTTTTCCTACTCTTAACAACAACAAAAAAAATGGCTGCTATCAAGAAATTAACCAGTAACAAATGCTGATAACATAATGAAAAAGGAACCCTTGTCCACTATTGGTGAGAGTATAGACTGGTGCAACCACTATGGAAATCAGAGTGGAGACTCCTCAAAAACCTAAATTAGAGGTTCTATTTGATTCAGGTATTCCCCTCCTAGGTATCTTCCCAAAAGAGTTAAAAGTATCATACCACAGTGATATATGTACACCCATGTTTATAGCAGCACAATTTATAATAGCTAAATCTTAGCAACAGCCCATATGCCCATCAACAGATAAATGAAAAGAAAATGTGGTAATTGTATATGACGGAGTACTACTCTGCCATAAAAAAGGATGAGTTTGAGTCACTTGTAGGAAAATGGATCACCTCAAGACCATAATCTTAAGTGAAATAAATTGGACATACAAGTTTAAGTATCATTGTTTCTCCTGTATGAGAAACCCAAAGGGTAACCAAGGAGCATAACAGAGGGTAGATATTGTGAAGCAGGAAGAACATGTTCAAATGAGAAAGGGAATGGAGGGTAGAAGGGAAAACTGTAAACAAAGCTTTTAAAAATGGGGAGGGGAAGAAGGGTTGAAGGGAGAGGATAGGAATGAGGGGTCAAGATACACTATGAAGCCAGTCATGGTAGCACATGCATATAATCTCAGCACTGGGGAGGCTGAGGCAGGAGGACTGCCGTGTATTCAAGGCCACCCTTGGCTCCATAGTGAATTCAAGGAAAGCCTTCACTACATAGCAAGATTCTGTTGCAAAAAGAAAAGAAAAAAGCTATACTATGTGCAAGTACAAATTGCCTATGATGAATGTGATCAATATGTATAACAAATATGTACTAATAAAAAACATGTTCCTTTAAAAAAGATCAACTGTCTCTTAAGAGTATGTTCTCAAATCAATGTGCAATGCAAAACAGCAGCACGCTGGTGCTTCTTAGTAAAATTTTTAACTCAAGGCTACTTAACACTATTAAAAATTAAGTGACCAACACAATATTTAAAGTAGAACTCCTCAAAGGGCATACAAGGCCATCTTTTACATCCCTTACTCCATTTTAAATCTATCCTCACCTTCATTTTTTCATTTTTCTTTTCCTTCTGCTTTTAACATCTGTTTTAATGTCTTGTGACACTACATGTACATGTGTATAAATAGTTTTAAATCCTGTTTAGAACCAACCAGAAGGTCTCATGAATAAAAAGGCTGGGTGGAGGACATTACCCCATATAAGACTCAGATCCATTTAAAGTTCTATATATGTATTTGATTGTTTAAAAGTTGAAGACGCACTAAAACCAAATACTTTTATCCATAAGAATTTAATTACCTTGACTTGATCTTAATGAAGCAACCAGGGGGTAATAAATATTATTTTTTAAAACATTTTGTTTTGTTCATTTAAAACAAATGATTTCGTCCAGGCTAGTCTAGAACACCCAGGCTGAGGCAATCCTGCTGGCTCCTGGTTCAGCCTACTGAGTAGCTGGGTCTATAGGCATACCCAGTTGAAATTTTTTGACTAAGAAATCTACTGCTATGGGGTTGAGCTGATGTTTTTAAAAGGTATATATATGCCACATGATTAAAAGATCATTACTAAAACTACAAACTCTCAAGTAAATTTTACATGCTACACAATTCCTTTCTGAAGCAAGAAACTGGAGACAAATCTGACTCAGTAGTTAAAAGATGAACAGCAGGTGATAGGTTGTCATTTTTGTTTATAAACTACCACAGCAAGTTGCTACTTTGTCAGAGCATAAAAAGGACACCAAAGAATTTTGACCAAGATCGTGGCATCTCCAGAAAGCGGAAAGGCTTAAAAAGATGAAGGAAATCCTTCCCCACGGGAAAGACACTGCTGGTGTACTTGTTGGGGGGTGGTGCTGAGCATTATCTAGGGGCTTACAAATCGTGCTGGAGGTTTTAAAAAAATTTTTTTACATATATACTGACAAAACAGCAGGAATTAATACCATGATAGGTTATTAAAGAAAAGGGGATAAGAATGAGACTGTCACACATATAAAGAGCTGTCCTTTAGGGCTTACTTCCACTACTACTAAAACCTCAGGCATGCTTCTGCTTTCTAGAACTCCTACAGCTCAAAATCCAGGGAGAGGAGCCGGGATTTAGTTCAGTGGTTCTGCTACCAGCCTCGCAAGCACAAGGTCCTGATACCAATCCCTGGTATCAAAAAAAAAAAAAAATCCAGGGAAAGGAGGAAATCCAGATAACCAGCACACTGAAACTGAGTGTCCTGAAAATTAAAGAGAAAAAAGGATGCACCAAGAGAATCCTAAACTATAGAGAGGAGAGAATCCCAATCGCATCTGAAATTCAGACAACTGGGCAGATATTTTCTTTCCAGAATTCCAGCACTGTAATGGTTCCCAACACCTGCAGAAAAGGAAATGCTGGAAAATATCCTGAGAGACCAATATAAGTAGGACAAAGAATAGAAGCTCTAAGTAGTTTGTAACAAATTTTTAAAACCTTCCTAAAACAGGGTAAAAGTGTCATCATCTGGATAACACAAGAGTCACTGGGGATTAGGCTTACTTGATCTCTGCACTATTGACACTGTAGCTGAATAATTCTTTGTCACGGAGGCTGTCCTATGCATTGCATGTATTCAGCAGAATCCCTGGCCTCTACCTCCAAGACTACAGCAGCACTCCTATCAGTTGTGACTATCAAAGCCTGTTTACAAAAACTGCCAAACGTTCCAAGGGCAAAATCGCCCCTACTGAACACCACTTCTTTGAATGAAACAACAAACAGCTGCCCGGCTCATTTCAGCCTCTTGGTAAATAACACTTCCAAGTCATCTCATCTCCTGAACTAGGAAACAGAAAGAATAGGAGAACTTGTAGGAAAAATAACATGTTCAATTTTGGTTATTTCAAAATGCGAGACATCAGGGTGGGGATTTAGCTCAGTGGTTCCACTGCCTACCTCGCAAGCACAAGGTCCCAAGTTCTATCCCAGGTACAAAACAAAAAACAAAAAACACCATCAAAATGTGAGATACCAAGTGGAGATGTCCAAAATGCAGTTGGCTATATGGAACTGGAACTATGAAAAGAGGTCCTGGCTCAAGAAATAGACCAGAGAAGCATTAGCTGCATTAATACCTTTGAGAACGGCTTTTACAAATCTTCAGCCAACATAAAATTCTCCTAAGAGATGATGATGATGATGATGACCCTACACAAGCTCTACCTCTTCCCTAATTAAACAAGAAGCCCTTCATAGATTTAATCTACCAGAGAGTAATATACTCTTGCACAATTGTTACCTTCATCTGGACAAACCTGCCATATGTTAAGGTCTTCAGAGTAAACTCTCACACATCTTTACTAATTGATATGTTGCAATAATTTTCCCATTTGGCATATGCTCCCTGTTGGACTCTTTGTTCCCAAATCCACTATCCCATATTCTATCTGATCTGAATAGATATTTGTTCTCTTCTGCTGCAAATATATAATTAGTAAAAGCAGATGTAATTCTCAAAATTAAGAATTACATGCACATGAGTTTTCCAACATTATCATTAAGGAAATTCTGTACTAAAAGGCTCAGACGCCAAGCTAATTACTTTTTTCTTCAACAGAAATCTAACAGTTTGAATACACCTCAGTTCAACAGCATGTTTTCCTGAAGTCTGTTTTGAATTGACAAAATTTATTTAAATGCAATTCTCCAAGAAATCAGAAGATACATTTCTACATATGCATAAGTTCACTTGTGAAAAATTTACTCAAAATGTTCTTATGAAGAGTTGCATTTTATGTAAAATATAGTGAAGTAACAATTTTCATAACTTAGGACATATAATCTGGTTAACAAAATATAGTCAAAGTAAAATTAATCTGAATAATGAACAGGAATACTTTGCATGTATTTAGTTTAAATTACTTTTCTTGTGTAAAATTTTCTACTGCATATTCTTTAATTTTGTTAACCTAAAATTTTTAATAAATGTAATTCAAAGTTTGTTTGAGAATAGTCACTTTTTTTTATCAATCAATTCACAGAATTTTTACCCAGCTCACATCCATAGTTATACCAACACACTGGTACTCAACCAGCAAGGACACAGGTATTAATAAAGGATAGCAAATATTCCTTTCAAAAATAATTAAATAGTATGGAGAAAACAAAAATTCACATATATTCCAGAAAGCAAAATTAAGTTTAGCATTTTTCTGATCACAAATCAAGTATTAAGAAGCAGATTTTTTGAACCTACTTTTCATAACATAATACTTATTTTTCAAATACATGTATGTCATTGAATCAAAATACCAGTAAAAGTCTGCTTTTCTTTGTTTTTATTTTGTTTTGGTTTTTTGAGAGAGGGTCTCACTATGTAGTTGAGACTGACCTGGAACTCACTATGTAGCCCAGGCTGGTATCGAACTCGCAGCAATCCTCCTGCCTCAGCCTCCCAAGTGCTGGGATTACAGGCATGCGCCACCACACCCGGCCACATCTGCTTTTCTTTATATGGTCTTTAGACTAAACTTTTAAAATCAGATGTGATTTTTACTGAAGGAAATTATTGCCCTCTCACCAAAGTTCCAGCATTTCCCCACATAAGAAAACACAAATTATGTCCAATTTACTGTGTGTTCTCTAATAAATTTTTTCATTTAAAATTACAATACAGCTAGAGAAACAAAAGAAGGAAAAGTAGTGAAGCATATTTAAAAATTGTTCTTCCTTACCAAGCCATTGCTGTAGAACCAAAGAGTTTAAGGCACGAGCAGACAGCATCTTTTTGACAGTTGGTGGAAGTCTCTTCCAATTAGTAAACTCCAAAGTGAAGATAAGGGTGTCTTCATTGACTGAGTCAATCCTGTATCAGTAAGATATTAACAAGCCATCAGACACAAAATATACCTAGGACACATTCTGGAAACAAATAGCAAAATACCTATTCTTATAACATCTTGATAAGGAAGGTAGACAAAAAGTGGGCACAATAAATATTCACGTAACTGAAGACAAGTTAGAGGTAGTTTAATGCAGCTTGGTCACCCTTAAAGACACAAAATTAACAATTATGAAAGTATAATGCCAAAGCACACCAAGTTACGGCTAATGTAATGTACAAAAGGGAGGGCATGCTTCTGCCTAGCTCTCAGGGACGTACAGCAGTTCTCTGGAACATTCCTCATTATAGATTAAGACCTAAAGGATGTAGCAGAAAAAGTTTTAAGGACTGAAGGGATACCACACAAACAGTTCTTCCTCTGTTCTTTCAAAATAATAACCAGACTCCCTCTCAAACCCACCCAAAAGAGCCACCCAAATTTTGTAAGTGCTAGAAGCCTAATGGTAAGAGCACTGGTTTAAAGAAAGTCCTGATCTAAATATACCTTTTAAAGCTTACAAACAAGTTACCTAGATTCTTAAGCCCTAGCTACTGCTCTCTAAAATGAGAATACATAGTCTGCCTATTTCAAGGAGCTATTTATAAAATAACATAATATAGTAAACATACTTTTTAAACTATAAAGTATTATGTGGTATTTGACATTGCTAGAACTTATTGAAAAACTTCAGTATTATTTTTTAGGTTTCATACACTATAGATAAGGTTTAGTCAAAGTTTAAGAAGAATTTTAAATCCTAACAAGCCATTTGAGCTCTATTAGAAATCCTCTACCGTCATATCTTTTGAAGCAAAATAACATTAAGTCTCTGGTAATTACTAGAAAAATTCTTGACAAGGTTAATTTTTTGGACATATTTCTAAGCAACTGAACAAGGAAAAGAAAAAACTAAATAATACTCAACATATCATCTCAAACATGAACTTATTTTGGGTAATTCAAAGTATCTCTAAAATGACTGATCAGAGTATATGAAAATTATTTCCCAAATTCTTAATTCTCTCATACACAAATATATAAGGAAGAACTTAAAATGGAGCTCTGGGAAAACATTTTACTTCTTACTCTGCTCTCACTGAAATAACAATTTATCAAGAAATATACTAAGTGAGTGTTCACTTCGGCAGCACATATACTAAAATTGGAACAATACAGAAAAGATTAGCATGGCCCCTGCATAAGGACACGCAAATTCATGAAGCATTCCATATTTTTTAAAAAAGAGAGAAATATAATAAGTGAAATGACAAAATATAGTCAGCGGCAAACAATCTCCTTGATGTTCTAAGAATACCATACCAAAGGTTACTTGGTTCTGGTTCCTATTTCTTTTTTGGTTTTTTTGTTTGTTTGTTTGTGTTTGTTTGTTTTGTTGTTGGTTGGTTTTTTGGGGTTTTTTTGACACTGGGGATTGAACTCAGGACCTTGAGCTTGCAAGGTAGGCAGTGGAACCACTGAGCTAAACCCCCAGCCCCCTATTTCTTTTTTTATTTTTCTGCCTTAATGTGCTGCAACTCTCACTGTGACCCACCACAAAGTCATTTCTTATGCACTTATCTGAACACACATGAGAAATAAATCTGTTTCCACAACTTTGATGTGAGTTCATTTTACCAACACTAATGTTACAAAAATGTGTTGTTATTTTGTACTACACTGACCATTACATTGTGCAGAGCAATTGTACAATCATAAATGAGTAATGGTTAATCAACACAATGTACAAATAACATCTGCTCTCTATTATTATCTCATTACATTCCAGGAGGAGGTAGGGGACTACATCTTGCATTTAAAGTTGAAAAATATTTCAACTTTGTAGATTATATTGTGACAGGAATTATTCAGCCAGATACATTTTTAAGACTGGTTAAAACAAGCAATACCTAGAAAAGACATTTATAATTTATATGACAAAGATTAAACAGCAGACTTACATCCAATATAAATAAGAAACAACCAAAATCCACTTTAGCAACATATTAAAATTTTTATGGGATAATTTTTCTTACAATAGCACTTTGAATGTAAATTTGATCAAAGAAAGCAAAGCATTCATCTTATTCAGTGTAAACACTGGCTTTATTCATTCAATAAAAGATCAGTGAACAAAACTTTGACCATGTTAAGCACCTTCTAAAGTAAAATTTTCCACTGTATTTTTTCTAACAAATATAAAATGACTTAAGTTCTTCCTTAGTAATAAAATATAAGCAAAATTGGCATTCTGAATTCAGAGAGCTAAAAGTTTTACAAATTACTTTAAAATAATTTGCAATTTACTGGTTCTTAACTATTTCTTATTCCACTAGAACTTTTTTTTTTTTTTTTGATACTGGGGAGCAAACTCAAGACCTTGCACTTATAAGGCAGGCAGTGGAATCACTGAGCTAAATCCCCAGCCCAACTATTTTTTATTCCAGCACATCGAGTGGCTCATTACCACAAAAATTCTCAACTATTCACACTAAGGGTAAGAGGCTGCATGAGAACCAGGGAAAGAAGAGTATATTTTAAGAAGCTTTCTAAGAGGATAAACCTAAATAAATTTCTCTCCTTATAAACAGCTTCTTTCGTTGGCTGGAGAGGAAAGGAAAAACATGCAATGTTTAATTCTTTTCTCCTGTATAGGTTTACCTTAGTTAGAAGCAGGCAAGAGCAATAAAAGTTGGCACAAATCCTCCCAAGTTTGGCAGGGAATTAAAGGTACTTGAAATTAAGTGACACAACTACCTCATAGCACAGTGGCTAAGAACATAGATGAGCCACACTACAAGACAGCCTGAGTTCAAATCTAAGCTCTAACAATATAGTAACTTGCTCTGAGAGCTTGGGCAAATATGTTGAATATCTGGCCTCAATATCCACCCTCTGTAAAATAAGGGTGAAATAGTTCCTACACCATTGTATAGTGAGTTTATATCACTAAACAGCTTAAAATAGTTCTTACTAATAGTGTCAAGCAGTAATTTTAAGGTGTTGCTTTGTTCTGTTTTTACTGGGAAATGAGCTCAGGGCGTCACACTTGCCAGGCAGGTGCTGTGCTGCTAAGCTACATCCCCAGCCCAGTAATTTTAAGTTTTGGTCAAAGAAATAAATTAGAAATCGGAAAAGATCACACAGGTTGAAAGTCCTGGGCAAGTCATGTAGAGCCAGTTAGCAGCTTCAGGACAATAACACAGTGCACTGAGAAGAAAGTGGGGTCCAGAGCCAGGTCATATGAGTGAGAGTTGAAGGGGTTCTCAAGAGTTTGCATTTGTGGACTCTTCTTTGCACCTGGCGGCTCTCCTTTGTGTACAGAGATCTTTATTTGGCAGCATCCCAGTACCTTACCTTTTTATTGTGTCTGCCATTACATGTTATTCAACACTTTTCACTAAGCAGAAGGCTTAAGACTATCATCTCTTTCCGACTCTGACTCTCTCTCTCTCTCTCTCTCTCTCTCTCTCCACACAACACACAGATCTCAAGAAACTGGGGGAATTCAAGACAGTATATACTCACTCAAAAAGGGTAAGGCCTCTTATGGTAGGATTTCTTACCAGGAACTGCATAGAAGAGTCAACGGGTCAAATCCAGCAAGGAGAAGATGAGGTAACCATTCCTTATATTTTGTTTGTGCTTTAACTGCATGATTTATAAATTCAGATATATGGTTCCATGGTGCCAATGGGCAACCTTTCTTCAAAAAGTAGCGAAATACTGAAAACTTCTCATACTTCAGACAGTATGCCAAATGAAGTTCATTTAGCTGGGCTCCGTACTTCAAAAGAATATTCACAACTCCAAGGAACTCACAGCTCCACCATAAAAATTTTGAGAAAAGGGAAAGAAAAAGTAGTAGTTAAGATTTTCCATAATAACACTTTCAAATTGTTAAAAACAGTTTCACCTGGGTAACAAGGATAGAGGAGGATTTACATGCATTGTGAACTGAGATTAGACAACACAAGAGGGGAAATTTTACTTTTTAAGCCCTCTGTACTGTCTGTAATTTAAACTGTGATCAAATATTGTTACAATAGAAAAGAAATGGCTTAAGTATGTACTTTTAAAAATTAACATTAACAAAAAATTTTCTTTGCCCGGCGTGGTGGCGCACACCTGTAATCCCAGCACTCGGGAGGCTGAGGGAGGAGGATCACTGTGAGTTTGAGACCAGCCTGGACTACATAGTGAGTTCCAGGTCAGTCTCAACTACATAGTGAGACCCTGTCTCAAAAATACAA